ACTAAGTTATTTAACTTACCTGTGTCTTACTTTTTTTAATCAGTTAAATGACTTGTTATAAGGCTTAAGTAAATAAACTTCGGCACTGTTCCACCTGAACCTGGGATAGAAATAGAGTATCTTTACCAAATTGCATATAATTTCCTGAATATTCTGTGTTATTTGATAGCTTTGTTCCTCTGTATCCTCTCACCCTCAGCTATGATGTCCTCATAATCCTTTAAAACTAGTTAACATTACCCTTCTATGAAGCTTTCTATAACCATCCTGATACCCCCAGATAAATTTTATGTCTCATAAAATAGCTATCTTTTTGCCAGCAGTGTCTCTCACTGATTTGTTTATGTGCTTATTCCCAGTACTAGACTGGGTTCTTATCAACATGGACGGGTCTAGATGAATTTTTATCATAATAGATAATCAGCAAACAATTGTTAAGTGAGACTTTGTATTGAAATTGTGAAATGTGACAACTAGAATGATTTAATTTTCTGGCTATTTTGTTACTCATCTTTTCCTTATTTTTCTTTGACCGATTACAAAAGAAATGTGGTTTAAAAAATATCTTCTAAAAGGTTATTCTGGGAAAAGATGAACCATTACTCTAGCTTATATAATTGAGGTAATAATTGCCACCTTTATATGCACACATGTTTATAAACAGTGTCTTTATCATCTTAATTCTCAAGGGTTAATTTCCAATTTACATAAGTAACTCATACAACTTAAGAAAAACAAACAATCCAATTAAAAAATGGGCAATGGAACTAAATAGGCACTTCTCCAAAGTGGGCTTTTAGAAGGCCAGGAAACATGAAAAATGCTTGAAATCACTAATCAACTGAGAGATACAAATTAAAATGCCAATGAGGTATCATCTTATACCTCTCAGAATGGCTATCAACAAATGACAAGTGCAGAGATGTGAGAAAAAATTCAAACTGATGCAGCCATTATGGAAAACAATACTGTGCATCCTCAAACAATTAAAAATGAAACTTCCATTTGACCCAGTGATCCCACTTCTAGGAATATATCCTAAGAAACCTAAAACACCAATTAGAAAGAATGTATGCACCCTTATGTAAATTGGAAATTAACCCTTTATCAGATGTATCATTGGCAAATATGTTCTCCCATGCAGTGGGCTCCCTTTTAATTTGGTTGATAGTTTCTTTTGCTGTTCAAAACCTTTTTATTTTGGTGTAGCCCCATTTGTTTATTTTGTCCTTAGTTTTCTCTGCCGTAGGAGATGTATCAACAAACATCTTGCTATGAGAGATGTCCCTTCCTCTTGGATTTTTTTGGGATAATTTGAGTATAGTTTAGTCCTTCTTTGAATGTTTGGTAAAACTCCCCTGTGAAGCCATAGGAATGCCTCCCCTGGGTTTGCTGTGAGTTTATTATTATTATTATTATTATTATTATTATTATTGCTTCTATTTCAGTAGTAGTTATCGGCATATTCAGGTTTTCAGATTGAGGTTTGAAAGATTGTATTTTTTTTAGGACTATGTATGTCCATTTTGTCCCGGTTGTCCAGCTTGTTGAAATGTACTTGTTCATAGTATTTTTCTCTGATCCTTTGTATTTATGTGGTAGTAGTTATTATTATACTTCAACCTGTTTTATTTCTGATTGTATTTATCTGGGTCCTCTCTCTTTTTTTCTTGATGAGTTTGGCTAAAGGTTTATTGATCTTATTTATCTTTTCAAAGAAACTACTCTTAGTTTTAATCATCTTTTTTATTTATTTTTAGTCTCTATGTTATTGGTTTAGTATCATCTTTATTATTTTCTTGTTGTTTTTCTGGGCTTTTCTTTTTGTTCTCTATCTAGTTCTTTTTAAGTTGTAGAGTTAAATAGTTTAGTATTAATTTTTCTTTTCTTTTTTTTCTTTTTTTTTTTTTTTAAGGTAGACTATAGTGCTATGAATTTCCCTCCCAGGACTATGTTCACTGTGTCCCATAGATTTTGGGTAGTTGTGTGTTCATTTTCATTTGTTTCCAGAAGGTTTTTTATTTTATCTTTGATCTCTTTGATAACCCATTCCTTGTTTGTTGTACTATTTAGTCTCCATGTGTTTGAATGTTTTTGAGTGTTTTTATTGTAGTTGATTTCTAATTTCATTGTGATCCAAAAAGATGCTTAATATGTTTTCAATCTTCTTGAACTTATATAGAGATTTAGCTTGTGTCCTAGCATGTGGTTATTCTTTGAGAATGACTGTGTGCACTTGAGAAGAATGTATATTCTATGGCTTTGAGGTGAAATGTTCTGAAAATGTCAGTTAATTCCATCTGGTCTAGTGTGTTGTTTAGGATCGCTATTTCCTTGTTAATTTTGTGTCTGGAAGATTTGTCCAATGATGTCAATGGGATGTTAAAGTTCCCTTGTATGATTTTGTTGCTCTCAATCTCCCTTAAAATCTTCAAGGAGTTTTTTCATATATTTGGGTGCTCCTGTATTGGGTGTATATATGTATATCGAAGCCTTAGGTGAATAGCTACAATTGAAATCTCTTGTGCTCTGCATTAAAAATAAACAAACAAAAAAACCACAAACACAACCACAACAAGACAAAACAAAACTGCGGCCTTCTCTCTGACTGGCTGTGGTCTACCTCTACAGGCTCCATACTCTGCTATGACCAGCAGTCCTGCCACTTTTCATGGCTGGTTGTTACATGTGTCATTGGTCTCAGCTCTGGTGCCCTAGGCTGTGGAGCCCAGCCTGGGTTCAAGCCTCAGACCTTCCTGTAGTTGGTAGCTCCTGCCTCACTCTAGGCCAGCCATCCCTGGGAGCTGGATCAGCTCCTCTTGAGATCTCACCCTTCCAACTGGTCTCCAGGTGTTTTCTGTCATTCCTTCATGTAAGTCTCCTTCTCAGTTGGATCTCAGTTGTATGTTCCCCACTTTAGTTTTATTTCCTGTCTGGCCCTGGGAGGAGGTGTAATAAGAAAGGTCTGCCTATTCAGCTACCATTTTTTCTTTTTCTCGCTTATTGCTTCTTAAGATCAAATGTTCTTTCACTTCTTGGCTTAACCTGCTTACCTGGGCTAATACTTGTTCTCTATACTCTTACTCTTCATTTACACAAATTAGAAGGCTAATCTGGACTTTTTCTGAGGATCTGCCCCACTCTAGTTAGTATAATGAAAAAGGAGGAAAGCAGATTGAAAATGAGGAAATAAAACTGCCTCTTTTTACAGACAACATATAGTTATCTATAATATATTTTGTATGTATGTAGATATTAAAGTTGTCTATGGAAAGTTACTAGAGCTAATGGGTGAGTTCAGTATGACCATGGGATGAAAGGTCAGTATACATAAATCACTTCCACCTCTGTATACTAGTGATAAATTTGAAACTAAAAAAATTTTGAAGTCCCATTTATAGTAGCACCAAAAATTTAAAGTATTTAGGCATATACCTAACAAAGTATGAACAAAATTTATATATTGAAATATATAAAACATTGATAAGAGAAATGAAACCAAAGATGTAAATAAATGGAGAGATAAACAATATGCATGGGAAAAAGACTATATTTTTACAATATCAAGTTGCCACAAATTCAACACAATCCCAATCAAAGTTATAGCAGGCTGAGCACATTTTATCTCAAATGTTAAAAATAAACCAACTGCTGGTGTGTTTTTTTGTTTGTTTGTTTGTTTGTTTTTTAAAATAGAAACTGCCTACTGTGGAGTTTGCTCCTTTGTGATACAGGGAGTTCCTTTTCATTTGAAACTTTCAGAGATTAGTAAGATACCCCTTTCAAAGATGTTGTGTGGGAAATTATAGCATTAGATGGGAAGTTGGATTAGAATTCAGTGGTTCTCAACCTTTCTAATGCAGAGATCCTTTAATACAGTTCCTCATGTTGTGGTGACCACCAATCATAAAATTATTTTTGTTGCTACTTCATAACTGTAATTTTGCTACTGTTATGAATCATAATGTAAATATCTGTGTTTTCTGATGGTCTTAGGCTCTAAAGCAGCGGTTCTCAATTTGTGGGTCATGACCCACTGGTTAAGAAGCATTGCTGTAGAGCCTAAGACCATTGGGTAAATGGTCTTAAGACCAACAAAAATAATTTTATGATTCCCACAGGTTGAGAACCACTAGCAGGGTCACCTAAGATCATCAGAAAACATGTTGAGAACTGCTAGCAGGGTTGCCTAAGACCATTGGAAAACACAGATATTTACATTAAGATTCAAAACGGTAGCAAAATTACAGTTATGAAGTAGTAATGAATAGGTTCTCGGCATTAGAAAGGTTGAGAGCCACTGGATTAGAATATCTATTTTTACCCTTCCGGCTCAAAATGTTAATGAATGTTATTCGTAAGTGTGTGATTACAACTTTGGGGTAAGGTGAAATGGAGTTAGAGAGTTACTACAATATATAGGCTCTTTCTAATATACTTAACTTTCCCCAAAGATCCTATCACTCTTCCTCCCATCCTTAAGAACCATTTCTTCATGTTAGGAGTATGTTGTGTAAATGAACTGTTTTAAGGTCTATGTCAAATTTATATTACTTTTTTGGGGGGTTGGGGGAAGATACACATTAAGTGACTGAAAAGAAAAATAATGTCAGTTTTCTCAATTCTTTTTGAATTTTAATTATGGCCCTTCCAAAAAATGGTATAAATCTTAGGGAATAGCCTTTAATATTTATTTTTAGTTTAGAACATTCATATTATCAATTTCTTCAATATAATCAACTTATTATGTATTTCTCAACAAGGAAATTCAGAAATTATCTTTAAAATTATTCTTCTAGTTACACCAGAATGTCAATTTTTAAAGATACTATGTTCCTGATATATATTTTAAAAAATATATTAGATTTTTATAATAATATGTGAAAACTTCAAATAAGTAAAACACCTGTGAATTCTGGGATTAAAAAAAAAAAACTGCTTGAAATATGTATAGCTAATTTTATTTTCATTAATATCTTCATTTTCTTTCTATTTTAAAGCCCAACCTGAATTCCTGAAGCAGCCTACTAATATATATGCTCATGAATCTATGGATATTGTATTTGAATGTGAAGTGACTGGGAAACCAACTCCAACTGTGAAGTGGGTCAAGAATGGGGATATGGTTATCCCAAGTGATTACTTTAAGATTGTAGTAAGTACTTTTTAAAAGAAGTACTCTGAAACCTTTAAATGTCTTTGTAATTATTAAGAGACTTGATATCTTATATACACCAGTTTATATAATGTCAACAAAGATAGAAAAATTAAACACAAAATATAATCTCTTCATTGGATGATGGGAAAGCTGAGCCCAGAAATATTTTGGTAGCTTATATATGATCACATAGCAAATAGTACTAGATGTAGTATTCCTGCTAAACATTTTAGCACTGTTAAACACAGTTGCCAGCATTTTCTGGGTAATGATTATGTGTGTGCTCATGCGTGTGTGCAAGCACATGTGTGCATGCACATGCACCAATTGTCTTCATATCTCTCAAGGAGCAGAAATCTGTCTTTCATATGCTGATGCTCAGGCCCTTCAAAATAAGTATGATCCAGTGTTGGACAGTTGTTGTGACAATATATGTGAAGATTTTTTTAGAAAGTAAATGCAAAAGTAAATAATTAGTGTTAAATATATTTAAGAATATCAGCCATTACTTCTTTTTACTTTTTATTAAATACATCCTATCTAATAAAAGAGTAATATGCAAATTGACCATCACAACAAGACACAAGATGGCCGCCCCCATGTGGACACAAGAAGGCTGCCACAAGATGGCCTGCAGAGGAGGGCAGTTGTGGGCAGTTGGAGATGACCAGACTAGCAGAAGAGGGCAGTTGAAGGGGACTCAGGCCTGCAGGGGAGGGCAGTTTGGGGGACCCAGGCCAGCAGGGGAGGACAGTTGGGGAGGGGCACTCAGACCTGCAGGGGAGGACAGTTGCAGGGGATCAGGCAGTTGGGTGTACAAGGTCTGCAGGGGAGGGCAGTTAGTGGTGACCAGGCCAGTAGGGAAGAGCAGTTGGGGTCCACCGGGCCTGCAGGGAAGGATAGTTGGAGGTGACCAGACTGGTAGGGAAGGGCAGTTAGGGTGTCCAGGCCGGCAGGGGAGGGAAGTTAGGGGCTATTGGGCCAGCCAGTTAGGTGTTGGAATGATTAGGCTGGCAGTAGAATGATTAGGGGGTGATCAGGCTAGCAGGTAGAACTGGTTAGAGGCAATCAGGCAGAGAGCAAGTGAGCTGTTGGGAGCCAGCAGTCCTGGATTGTTAGAGGGATGTCCAACCGCCCGTTTAGGCCTAATCCCAGTGGGTTTGACATCCCTCAAGGGGTCCCAGATTGGAGAGGGTGCAGGCTGGGCTGAGGGATTTCGTGCACCTGGCCTCTAGTTTTTAATAAAGATTGTCTCATTATTATTTAACATCCTAGTAATCAAATTTTCTAGGTTTTAGTAGCAAAGATTGATGACATATTTTTAAATACATGACATTCATAGAAATAATCAGAAGTAATTATGGTTGTTAAAGACTTACTGTCATAAGTAATTCATAATATTTAAATGTAACCAAAAAGCAAGGTTTATGGTTAAAGTAGCATTTTTTACTATCAATAACAGTAACAGTAGTTGATATCCATGTAAGTGTGGGTAGTTTTCTTTATAGTTTAAGGAAAGCTTCATGTATATGCATCTTGATTTAACTTAGTATAGTCTAATCTATTAGAGCTAATAATAATAAAAATAATATTTAAAAAAGGCCTTGAAGTCATAAATTTAGATTTTTACTATGGTCACATGGTACTGCATGCCAGATATTTTTCCAAGCAAAGATGTAAGTTTGCAAACATTGTGAGTACAACTTTGCATGAGTATTAAATTCTTAATTGTTAATGACAGTGTTTCCTGTTTTAATCAGTTTAAGTTAGTACCTTGTCAATAAAATTGAGTTAACATATGCATCAGTGGATAATATTTAGTACCTAAATCAGGCAATTTTACTTTTTTTTTTCTTCCCAAAAAAAAGCATATACATGGGATTTTGGACTGTTTATCAATTGAATCATAAAATTGTATATGTTTTTCTTCTTCAGAAGGAACATAATCTGCAAGTTTTGGGTCTGGTGAAGTCAGACGAAGGATTCTATCAATGCATTGCTGAGAATGATGTTGGAAATGCACAAGCTGGGGCCCAACTGATAATCCTTGAACATGGTAAGAGGGACTGAAATAATAAGTGGGAAGAGGAAGACTATATATTTGAGGAACTAGAACCTATCACTTGAGGATACCTAATGATTAATGACCTATTTGTAAAGGGCAACATATGGCATAAACAAAAGGAAAAATAGCTGTCTAAATAATTTCTGTTGTTTAAAAACACAATTTTAGCTAATATTGAGAAGAAATTGGTGTTAAAAAAGGAAAACTGAATACATTCTTACAAAAACGAATGTTCTTCAAAATTCAATCATTTTAATCTCACAAATATATTTCTATCCTATTAAAATAGAAAACTAAAAGCAATATTAATTTTGCATTGAATTTTTCCAAAATAAAATTAACTTGCCTTTTGTGATTATCACAAAAAATACTTTTTTATAAATTTAGACAACATTGATAAATAAAAAGGTAGGAACCTCACCCTATTTCATTCAGGGTCAATTCTGGGGAAATAACACAGAAATTTCAAACACTAAGAAGTATTAAATATTCTTAAATATAAAAAAAAGTATTAACTCTTAACAGAAAATTGGAGTAACAAGGGGTTGGCTAGAAAGAAGTGAAGAGAACTTTAACAAATATAAGAATGGCAGATAGAAGGAGCAACTACAACCCCTAGGTCTGAGAGAGAGTTCAGGAAGATTATCCTTTGGGGCTGAGATTTAGACCATGTTGGAGAGGGTGTGGCCATGGTTCCCTGGATGACAGAGAAGTGGCTGTGCTGTCTTGCTTGCAGTGGAAATTGTTCAAAACTTACTGACTTGTGTGCTGGGGTGTCTATGTGCAGAGGCAATACCTCATATTCTGCTACAAAACCATCTGAAGGTTGGGGTGTTGTTGGAAATAGCCTCCAGCACCTGTACTGTTAAAGTGTAACTCTTGTGTCAGTTGGCAAAGGAAAAACATTTAAAGGAGCAACTTTATTTTTGCAGAGCAGGCAGTATGATATGAATTTGAAGCTGAGAGGCAATAAACTGCTAACTGTCACATGCTCCAAATCCTGTCACTTAGGAATATTGTAGGTGAATACATCCTATATAATAAAAGGCTAATATGCAAATTGTCCCCTCGAATGGGAGTTTGATAGAGGGCAGGCTGGCGGCCTATTGCCCCAGTCCCGTTCCCAGTAGGCCCCAATTGGGGCCAGCCAGATCGATTCCACCCGTGCATGAATTCATGCACCGGGCTTCTAGTGGATTATAACCTGCTTTTTTGCAGCAGTATGCTATGGCGTCTTTACATGTAAATAGAGATTTGTGCCAAAATTTTCATTGCTTAATAGTGTATATACACTTTGTTTTATATAAAAGACTAGAGGCATGGTGTATGAAATTCATGAATGGGGGAGGGAGGGTTGTCCCTTAAACCGGCCTACACCCTCTCCAATCTGGGACCCCTTGGACATCCCTCTCACAATATGGGACTTCTGGCTTCTAACTGCTCACCTTCCTGCCTGCCTGATCACCCCTAACCACCTCTGCCTGCCTGCCTGATTGCCTGATCACCCCTAACCACCTCTGCTTCTGCCTGCCAGCCTAATTGCCCTCTAACCGCTTCCCTGCTGGCATGATTGCCCCCAACTGCCCTCCCCTGCCTGCCTAACTGCCCCCTAACTGCTTGCTCCCCTGCCAGTCTGATTGCCCCTAACCACCTCTGACTTGGGCCCTCGCTCCCAACCCCCACCATGGCTTTGTCCAGAAGGTGTCTGGTTGACCCAGTCTAATTAGCATATTACCCTTTTATTAGTATAGATTCCCTGTTGCTTAGCATTTAAACTATTTTTCCTATTTTTAACAATTATGAACAGTGCTATGCTGAATTTCTTTATATGACTTTCTCATACTGAATTACTAGAAGTTGAGTTATTGGATAGCAGTTCTGTGTTAAGTTGATAAGGATACCCATTGGGTCTGTTATTTATTTTAGCAAGAAAAGCATTTTCCATTTTTTGCATTTCTTTAGAATGCATAAAAAAGATGCCATATTAGACATCTGCTCTAGTTTCTGAGTCAAGTGAGTTCAGGTTCCACTGTGGTTCCTGCCACATAGCCTAGCCAGAAAAAACTAATTGACAAAAATGGTACCTGCTAATGGTTTTCACTAAAATAGCATATAAGATTCTTACATGCTACTAGGGGCCCAGTGCACGAATTTGTGCACCTTGAGAGGACCTATGGGCTGCAAGGCTGCAGTAGGCACAGGGATGGGTCTTGGCCCATCCTTTGCACTGCCACCTGGCTCCTCCTGCCACGGCTTCTGGTTCCTTGTCTGCCAGCAGCCCCACTCCCGCCACTGTTCCCACACACTGATGGCGTCGGCCCCATTTGCATCCTCTGAAGGTGCAGAGTGATTGGGGCCAGTGCCAGCAGTTTGTGTGAGTGTCTGCTGCTGCCCTGATCTTCCCTCAGAAGTTGTGGGGGGAAGGGGGAGTGAAGAAGCCCTCATTGGTGATCAGGGCCAGCAGTCACCACTCGCACTCACTGATGTTGCCGAGTGATTTAGACCAGTGCTGGGCACTGGCAGTGGGTGCCAGTAACAGCTTTGGCACAGGCTGCAGGTGCAAGAGGCGGTTGATAGCCCTGATCTTCTTTCAGGAGCCAGGAGAGGTGGAGAAGCCTTAAGGAGTAATTGGGGTCGGCAGCTGCCGCTTGTACCCACTGATGGTGCCGAGCAATGGCAATGGGTGTGAGTGGTGGCTTCAGCGTCAGTAGTGGGTGTAGGTCCAGTACCAATAGCAGATGTGAGCACTGGGCGGGACCACGGTGTGTGCCAGAGCAAAGAATTTTCAGTAACTGCTAGAGGTTTGCCCAGATGACAGCAACCAGCACCCCACCTTGGTCTGGCATCCCCTCTCACCTGCTCCACCACCCTGCCACGGCTGACGCCCGCCATGCTCCATGCACAATCCCTGGTGGTCAGTGCATGTTCAGTGGTTCAGGTTATTCTGCCATTTGGTCTATTTCATATTAGCCTTTTATTATATAGGATTTTTTGAAAATGTATTTGATAGTACTTTTATAAAAAGACATTAACTATACTGCTCTTTTTCTTTATTTGTCTTTCTTTCCATATTCATTGGAAATGACTTAGTAAAAGCCATGTTGCCTTCATATTTTGGCAAAATGCCTGAATATGATTACCAATTAAGGCACTAACAAAACTAATCAGGTAGATAGCCTTATTTCTTTTAAAGTGTCAGTGTTTTTTTTAGTAAACTTTGTGACTTTCTTGGGATTATTTACTTGGAGCTAAATAAAGGCATTTTAGCATATTTGTGTTTGGGATTACCATTGTAGATTTAACTTTAATAATAAAAATGGTTTGCTATGCTAAGAGTTCCTAAACTAATCCTCTGAAAATGCTCAAATGTCATAATAACTATAGTTGTAGCATGTGTTTTTCCCTTCTTGAGATGTTTGAAAAAACAGTGCTTTGTGGGCTGGTGAAATTTTTTAGTGCCTTGTCAGGGATGCATTAAGGATACGTAGGTTATGGGAAAGAAAGTGTCATTTTATTAATTTTGCTATTTTAATTTAAAAGATAAATAATTATGTAGGAAAGCTCAAAGAGAAAATAGAGGATCTGATCTCTGCCTTTCTAGAGAGAGAGAGGTGTAAGAGATATGTATGATAATAAGTGTTATTTTTCTAATATACATAAAGCAGTGTACAACTGAATACTCTCTGTGTGATCAGGGAAGTTTTTTTCATGGAAAGTGTCCCTCCCTTCAATGATAACATTTCCAGATGCTAAAAGGAGTACCTGTTTCTGTAGGAAGGTGGCCTATAAAGGCAGAATAGGATCAGATTACTCATGGCCTTGATTTTAAACATCAAAGCATCTGGCAGGTGTGACTCAATGATTGAGTGTTGACCTATAAATCAGGAGGTCATGGTTCGATTCCTGGTCAGGGAATATGCCTGGATTGTGGGCTTGATCTCCAGTGTGGGCTGTGCAGAAGCAGGTGATCAGTGATTCTCATCATTGCCTTTTCTATCTCTTCCTCTCTGAAAAACAAACAAACAAACAAACAAATAAACATCAAAGCAATACTATAGTAAGGCAGTCTGATGATAAAGTCAGGTCTAACTAGAAAACCAAGTTCAAGAGGCTGGTTGAAGGAATATTGTTTTATGTAAGAGACCATTGAAAGATGATAAGTATTTATATTAGAGAAATAGAAAAAAGTATCCTAATAAAGATATGTTAGTGATTTATTAATTCAGACTTTATCAACTGTGATTGGATATTAAACATCATTGTAGAAAAATCAGAAATCTTCTAAACTTTTATCTGGGTGATGCCTTTACAAAGAAAAAAAGGAGGTGAGTCAAAGTGGAAGGGGACTTATGCTTGTCCTCAGAATGTAAAAAATGTGCACAGAACTTTTCACTCTCGCTTACAATAAAAAAGGTGGGTGATTTACAAAGTCATAATTTCTCTGAGTTCATTGGAGAACTGAGCTTGCAAAGCAACCAAATACATTAACCTAAAGTTCAAAGAATTGTCAACCCTCTACCCCAAAGAATGGGCCATGAATTGTTTTGTCTTTGGCAGGGCAGGAGAAAAATAGATGGCTGCAATAAAAGTAGATAAGAAGAAATCAGCTGAAATTTTAACTGATCGTTAAAGACTATGTGTGGACTAATTTGGAATATCTTGGGGCTTCTGATAAAAATGGAGTTCACACTTGCTTTCAAATACATTTCCTTGGGGCTAAACAGGATATTTACTATTGAGATTGGTACAAGGGGGAGACTCAGGGACTCAGTCATGTAGAGATTAAGGAGGTGATCTGTGGCTGGTGGAATAGAGGCACAAAGTCCCTCCCATTTGCTCAGACTCCTTTAAGCCTCAAAAAATGAGCGATGGGCAGAAAACCTTATTTGATACATTTCTGGAGGGACATTAGAAGCAAAAATCCTTCTTCAGTGTGGAGGAACCCTCTGGTTCCCAGGACACAGCCAAAGATGCATTGCTACTATAGAAAG